TGCTCGGGTAAAACCCGAGTCATTCCAATACGTAGGAATGTCGTCTTATCCGTCTTAAAATTCGCCTTCGCATTTAAATTCGTAGCCGTATTGGAATTCGTAATCGACTTCATATTCGTTTTTGTGTATTCATATTCGACTTCCTATTTAATTTTGTATTCGAATTCTTATTCCTTTTCCTTGAATTCCTATCCGACTTCGTATTCGACTGCGTGGTTAAAGTATCACAAAAAAAAAATATATATTTAACTTTTTCCAAAACAAGCAGAAGTTCAGAGTGCAAATTTTTTTTCTAATTTTGTATATTTTATTACCAAAAGAACACAAAGTTTTAAAAAGGAATACTGCGAAAAATTGGTGCTTTTCGTGATTCTACAATACTATAAAAAAAAATTGTGAATTTTGGTTAATATGTAATAAAACACTTATAAATAATTATATATTAATGCATATACATAAATATATCCTAAATTTATTTTAAAATTAACCATATTACAATAAGAAGTTCGTATTGGCGAATGAATGTCTTTGTAAAGTAATGCAAAAATTCGCATTTTCAATGCGCTTTGGCTTTGTAAGTGATTTTCCACACTTCGAAAAGACATATTGTTGAGTGGAAGCGATAAAATATAGCCAGTGGCATGGATATATGTGTAATGATGGTCCAACCCCAAACGCCAAAGAACACCAGATTTGTCTCTCGAAAAACTGCACGGCCTTTGATTAGAGTATTGATGAACCAAATTGCAATATTGGCCACTAGTAAGAAGGTGACGATTTCGCGACCCGGCTTGCGACGTGCCTGTTTAGAGCCCTTGCAACGTCTATGGCTAGCGTGCAGGATGAACATTGTCTGCAGCGAAGTCTCCGCCAAACTCAGGATCTCAGCAACCATGCCTTTAAGTTAAAAAGAAAAAAAATATTGGGAAAATAATATTTCAAGGCAGACATGTACATACGTATCGACGGCTGAGTGGAAGATCGACCTATCTGGGTAGCCGGTTCGAAAACGCCCTATCTCAGAAAACTTTTCGAGAACGCCCTATTTCAGAATTGGGTTGCAGAATGGTCTACCTTAGAATTTGATTGAAGAACGTCCTATTTCAGAATTCGGCTCAAAAAAACCATATATCAACAAATTTTCAATATATTTTCAGTAGAGAGAGGTCGTTTTTGAACCAAATTCTGAGATAGGGCGTTCTTCAAACAATAGGGCGCTGTTCAATCAAATTTTGAAAGAGGACGTTCTTGGACCGAATTTTGAAGTAGGTGTTCTTAATAAGTTGTTTGAGATAGGGCGTTTTCGAAACGGTAGATCTTCCACTCATCCGTCGACGTGTACTCGTAGATCCGTTTAAATGTCTTGCATACCTTCGATTCTATCCGTCACCGCATCCCATTTGGAGAAATAACTGCCCAATATGCTGAACATGCCATAAAGGTAGACGCCAGTTTGAGCCACAATTAACAAATGATTGTCCAGCTCCATAGAATGGTGATCGTCACTGGAGTTTTGTACGTATCTCAGGTCACGTATCAGGATCATACCTACATACATACACATAATTTGAGTATTCAAATGTCCTAAATATGTAAATCTCTTGAATCACCGCAAGCTTATACCATCTTACCTGTAATTATGGCTGTAATACAAATGAAGTGTGTAATGGTTTCCCAAATGGTGACTTCTTGCGTAGCGATCATTTCATAGCCCGGTTGTGTGTACAACACAAAGTACATAATCATTGCTATAATAGTCATCACGATCATGAGTATGCCGAAGAAGAGTCCCTTGTGCGACTGCGAACAATCAACAGAAAAATGATGCGCGGGCTTTTGATGTGTCGGCTTAACAGAGCTCTTACGCGATCGATCTATATCTGAAATGGAGCGTACAGTCTTCCACATCTCATAGAGTATCACAGCGCAAATGAGTGAGTATTCGATAGTGCAAGGAAATAGGAATGGTGCTACCTCTTGCACCAAAGCACCCATAATGTTGGTACGCGTGCAACCGACAGTCACCTGCCCTGTAGAATTGATAAGCGCATTTTGTATAGTAGTTGCGGTGGTCATGTTTACGCTTTTCGTGGTGTGCGGCGTAATTTGTAGAGATTCATTGACGGCACTCCAATCTATACCGCCATGTGGGCCGGAAGTGAATATTGGATCGGTTTTTTCGTTATCATGTTGACTAATGTGATAGATCTCGTGTTTGGTTTCCTCCACCAAGACGTACAGCCACTCGCATAGATTTGTGGCAACCATATGCATTAAGCCAAAACGGCAGGTGACCTTATGACGTGCCATATCCAAGTATGTTGTGTTGAGGAATATAAATTGTATCTGTACGATGGCGAGTAGCATACGTAAAATTGGTGTTATTGCGATAAAAATATCCGCACAACCGGGTTTGCCGTTCAATTCGAAGTACTGGCCGAACTCTAGACCCGAGTAAACCATAGTGCCGATGGCAAAAGAAATAGCGCCGACACGAAGATAAAAACTGCCAAAATGAGTGACTTTGTGTTTCAAATGAACATTATTGTTCGTCTCGTCTGGGGGAGGGGATTTAAGATAAAAATTTCATAAAAATATAATAGTTAGTTAAATAATTTACAAAGATATATACGTAGGTAACACTTATTAAAAAAAAAATTTAGAGGAGGGAGCCGATCATCCAGCTACCGCGGCCGAGCATGATCTATTGTAAAAGACCTATATTTGGGCACACGCTATACACGCTAGACCTATATTTGATCCACTTAATGATAAGCAATGTCAAGATGTCCCTTGGCTGAATGCCCTTCAAATCATGTGCTCCTAGGTAGGAAGATCCCAGGAGACGAAAGAGCTTTGCAGTGTCACATAATGTCCTCTGCTATCTCCTGTTGTTCTGCCAGAGATAAAAAATCACAGGTTTGACAAGCGTTACATTACTCTCTAATGACCAGTATTAAAGTCTCAAATAATTCCTACTTCATATCTATTAAGGTAAAGAAGTGCCTTGGGTTTTCTTGTTGATATATGCGAGACTAAGGGCCTAGCATATCTGTTGTTACCTTCCGTACTCGTGTAGTAATATTGCGCTTCCGCTTTCATCCAGAAATAATAATTCTTACTGACTGAGATAGCTCCATTTCGGACCGATGAAGGGCCCTCCAACTATGAATCCCTGGCTAGGATCTAGTTAATTTCATTGCGCATTGTGTTGCGCTATATGTTACTGAAAAGGAGCCTTCTGGATTGTATGCTACAGACTCCTGCTTCGACACTAAATGTGGCTATCCCTCCAGGGTTTTGGTCATTTGTTGTACCAACTTGTTGTGTTAGGGAGAAAGACTTGAAGATATGTGTTAAGCTAACTTCGGAAGGCACAGGTCCACTAAGTTAATGCACAGTTCTTCTTCAGAGGAGTTCGTCTACTACGATGGACCATAATAGAGGAAAGTTCACTCCCCTCTGCGGTCATGATTTCGTAGTTAGGAATCTAGCCCATTCAAGTGCTATAGTGGATATAATGGTTCTGCTATTCAGCGACATGTGGTAAAATTAATCCCTTCATGCCGGACGTAGTTGTCTATACAGCAACATGAAACCTGCGGTCCTCACTTTGTTCTCCATTCATTTCTTAATTTTTTTTTTCGAGGCTCTGAAGAAAATGGATGGTAGATCTTCATGGAGGATTGTCATATTGGTTTTATGCAAACAGTTTCCTGTAAGAAAACTATTCCTGATATGTCTATATATCGTTCTTTGCATGGATTTTAGCAGAAACGATCTAGTAAGACTGATGGGTCAGTACAACTTTGGCTGGTCTACTGATTTTTTCCTCATATTCTGCGGTACAAACTCCACTCAAAGCACGCCCGAAAATACGATATCAAAAAGGGTAGCAGATGAGGAAGTACCTTTGAAGATGAGCTGTAATGATGCCATCTGCTCCAGGTGCTTTGAAGGACGCTTATCCTCTCCACATGAAACAGTGCTCTGTGGTAAGCAACCGCGGCTAGCAATATAAGAGATGCTTTGCGAGATCCGCCTGGTCGTTTCAGGAGCCATAGGTCGTTAGTGAGTGTTGTTGCAATGATTCTGGTTATTTTTTTAAGGTCCTTGATTCATGTAAAGAAATGATTCCATATGTATCTTTTTGCACATCTAATCTTCGTATTTTCCTCAGTGAGGGCATGTTTGTGCGTCTCCTATTCACCTTTCTTCTTTTAGCTTTGTTAAGGTGACATTCATCGTTTAGATATATCAGTTCGAAAGCTATTTCAGTCTTCTTTCATTTGATACCAAATTTGTTTAATTTTGATAAGCGATTTGTTTATTATTACGAAAGGACTTTTATTTCGGCCTTTAAGAGGTGTTTGGATCAAAGGAATACTTATCAATTTCTTTTACGAAATTTCTTTTTTAAAGCATCGAAAAAAATAACTGTTATTTTCGGTCCCTGAAAAGTTCATTTCCACCAAGTCTTCACTGCAATTTAAGCCTATGAGAAAAACGAGATTATGACTCGAATGGGGTAGTTGCTCACATTAAGTAAGAAAGAAAAAAAGCAAAAAGTAAGAAATAAACTTTGCCGATCACCCCTTGTTAAAAATTCTGGGAACCCACCTGAACTCTTAACTGCAGGTAATCTTTTGGTGGAAATATGTTATATGAATTTGAATTTTACTACACGAGGGTTGCTCACTTTATAGGCATACGTGCATGCATTGCTTTTTAAAACTTTTCTAAAAAAATCTTAAGCAAAGTCCATAACGAAGATCGTGGTCACTGCATTTCTAAACTTTCTATAAATCTCTTACAGACGTGGGCAACGTTAAAGCCTTCCCTGGTTATCACTCTTTTAAGCTTAATAGAAAGCCGTATCTGGCGGCCAACTCTGGCGTACAGCGATCTACTCGTATCAATTCCAAAAATACATATAAACTTTACTTACGAAAATTTTTCAGCGCATTAAAAAGCGTACGATTGCGCAGCGTGGTCGCATATAGGAAAGCAACAAAAAGTATGCTTCCCGCATACAAGTAAACATAGAATCCTTGATACACATAGTTGGGTATCTGATGTGAGATCACTTCTGTGATGGGTAAACAAACGCCCATTAAAACTAGAATTTTACAATAAAAAGCCGAAAGAGCAGAACTCAATGCATCACTGAAAAAGAAAACAAATTATTATTCCCAAAATTAGGTAAAGACAAAATACATATAGGAGCAGCATGAAGGAAAGAACGCGTTGGTGCAATCGATATACAGAGAAATGCACTTCACTTACGATTTGAAGATAGGTTAGTGAAACTCCCTCTAGTGGCCGAGAGAACTTTATATTGGAAATAGTACTGAAAAAAAACAAAACCCTGTGGAATCTGATACTGACCACTGTCTTTTCCTTTAAGGCAATTCGCCGTCCAGCGTTTCATTCGCTAAGTGTGAGGGTATGCTTCAATTGTGACTAGTAGCGTGGAATCACAAAAGTTGTTAATGGCCTTTTACAAATCCAGCGCTACTAGGACAGCTTTTTCACAGGGGCAGTTCCGGTTTAGGCCATCCAAAATATACACCAGACTTAGCCCCCAGCGATTCTTTTCTGTTTCCAAACCCAAAAAATGACTGGACGGTAAGAGATTTAGGACGAATAAAGAAGTCATCTCTGAAACAAATACTAATTTTGAGGATCTTGAAAACCCTTTTGGGAAGGAATTAAAAAATTGGAAAAATGCTTGACTTCATGTAAAGAGCTAAAGAGAAAGAATACTCTTTTTAGCCTAAAAATACACATGTCTTTTATTCAAAAAGTCACAGACTTGATGTACGGAAGTAGTAAAGCCTGAAGTGAAAAGGGGAGCTATTGGTCGATATGACTTCCTTTGTTGGAAGGCTTCCTGGGTTTTTGGTAGTGCGACCACTCTTCCAGACTTTCAAATGCTGCGGATGATGAGAGTGGCTAACAAGTTAGTAACCACCTCAACTACCGTTTGACCAAAGCTAATAAACAAAAAGAGCCCGTAAAAAGCTACGATCAGCTGCTGGTATAGCAGCTGCAGCCGGGAAATGGGGTGGCTAACCACTAGACTACCGATACGTAGGAAGCGTGCCGCTAAAGCGATCCCCACCATACGGAACTGATGTTTGCCAACATGGACGTCTTATGGTGTTGGGAGAGCGATGCAGTTGTTATCGATAACTCCCACAAAGCTGCCCCGATTAGATAACTCGTTTAAAGTTTAGGTCAGTAGTTGCGGTGGTACGCGAAAGCAAAGTCGGCCGGGATATCGACTGAAATATATTTTTATTTTTTATACTCTTATATTTCTTTATATAAAAAATGTTTTCACCAACCCCTTTACCGATTGCTCCTCAGCGCTTCCTTAACCTCATTAACCTATTTTCTCTTTTCAACTAAATCAATTAGTCTGTTCCAATAGCAGTCCGGTTTACAGGATTTAGTCAGAACTTACAGGAAGTCGTTCCTATTGACATAAAACCTGTAAGTGGGAACACATTTGAGAGAGTAACTGAGCAACTGTTCCTAGTCAGAAGTTACAGGATTTAGTCCGGAGTTTTTTTTCCTGTAAGTTCATGAAAAGTGTCAAACGATCAGCTGATTTACATGTGCAAACAAAAACAGAAAGCGGTGAAAACAAAAACCTTATATTTGTTAAAAAATGGAAGTAAACACCGAAATATTTGAATATATATAGATTTTAATAATTATTTAGTGATATTTCAACCAAATCAGTGTAGTACCAATGACATGTAAACAAACCGTCTGACGTTTTTACAGGAAATAGTGCTTTTTGCGTTCCTATGCACTTCTGCATCTGTTCTCCTTTTACTCTCATTTGAGAGAGTAAAATTGTAGTTTGACAGTTCCACAGGTTTTAGTCCGAAGTTCAAAGGAACAGACTATATACTTACTTGCCCTTGCGACGGTTTTTGTCCTTAAACTGTTTCGCGGCAAACTGCTGATTCTCTGCATCTCCGTGCGTATTGATGGTGACCATGGAACCGGCTGCGGTATCCGCAAGTGACCGACTGTTGTTGCGCAGCGAGATCCGGCGTAAAGGCGGCAAGAAAGCAATGAAATAATAAAAACAATAAGAAATATAAGAAAGCTTCGCCAAAATACATAAATACATACAAGTAATTTAGTATATTTAATTTGAACAGAAAAAACAAAAATTGTTAAAAAAAAAACATGCCGCGCATGCTTGAACCTGTATCTACCCGTAAGGACTCTTCGATGTATGTCCATTGATCTCCTTTTTGCCACGAAAGAGCGTTGACGTTCGACGCGTCAATATATCCTGCAGCAGCAACGATGGCCGTCGTGATACTTGTAATGTTTGCACGCTCGTGCTGTTGCTATTCAACATTGCATTCTTTTCGCCTCTCTCTGAATCTTTGCCATTACTCGACTGAGGAATGGTCGGCAGCAAAGCTTGTCGTGCATTACCGGTGCTTATAAGCTCCAGATTTGTTTGTGAACGCACTAGCGGTGAGATGGGATGTGCCATAATGGGCACGTTATGATAGCCGCACTGATCACAGGGTGTACGTGCGAGGCGTTTCGCGTGTACGGATTGATTGTAGGACGGTGTATTTGAACCTGTTACCGAGAGTAACTCTAGGCCGGTTGTTGTCTCTGGAATACTGCTGCTAGGGGTTATTTGTAGTCTTGGTATGGAAGCTGATCTGGGTTTTATGTCGATTGTTTTGTAAAAATAATCACTGTTGTTGGAGGTTTTATTTTTGCTACGCGTAAAATAAATAAAAATGCGTTAAGTGTGGAGAATTGAGTTGAAATAGGATCTGTGAGCACGTGGGTGGTGTGTGACTGTGCTAGGCGATGGTTTCGATTTGCGATAGGTCGAATAGATTTTGGGGTGTAAAGTTAAAGCAAAGGCTTTGATTAGCAGTTAAATGCAGAAAAATTAGCAAAAATAGAAATTTCCAAGTGTGTGCGTTTTTGAAATTTTATGTATATTTGTATGTATGTAGGTATTATGCCGCATTTCCACTAGGCATTGAAATGACAAGAAATTGGAGGCATTTAAAAAATGCCATGCGGAAATGAGTTTAATGACAATTTTTTTAAAGTAATGACAAGAATATTTTTTAATGCCCAAGTTTGTCATTAAAATTTCTGCCTTCTAATAATGCTGGATTTCCACTAGGCTTTAAATGGCGAAAATGATAAATGACAAAGTTGGGCCTTGAAAAATGTTCGTGTCATTACGTTAAAAGAATTTTCATTAAGTTTATTTCGATATGGGATTTTTTTTTAAATGGCATATATTTTTTGTCATTTCAATGTCTAGTTGAAATTCGGAATTAGACTGTGTCAAATAAAATGACTGTTATTTTTCGGTGCCATATGAAAGTTTCGTTGTCGATCACAAAATTTTTCAGTTGGCGCTCGCAAAAATAAGAATTTTCAATGAGAAATATTTTTTGGGCTACTTTTTTTATAAACAATTAAATCTAACAAATAAATAGAAGCACCGTGTAGCCCATTCAATTCTAGTATGATAAAGCGCAAGTTTGAAGTAGCTGGGATTTACTGGTGATTTTTGTAATTTTTTTACGGTGTCAGTCTTTTTCTTCCATACATAAATTTGTTTTATATGGAAGAAAAAATTACCAAAAATCAACGGTAAATCCTAGCTACTTCAAATGTATTTAAAGTGTGATAATTATAATAGCGGACAAAATTTTTTCTCATTGAAAACTCCTATTTTCGCGAAGATAGAGGACTGAAATTTTGCATTTTTTTTTATTTTTGATCAAAAGCGAAATTTACAAATGAGGCTGATAAAATAGTCGTTTTATTTTTGAACAGTCTAGTAGGTGTGTAGGACTTTGCTAATTTATGTGACACCTTTTTTATCCCACACTCAACACACAAAACCGTTGACTTTAAAATTTCAAGTTAAACTGGCAATGAACTGAAAGTATTCCGCTCAAGGGTCAGTAATTGCGAACAAACAAATTATGTACGTTCGTACATATCATGGCTTTTAGTTTTGGTTTTAAAATTTTGCAACTTAATTAACTATTGCCTAAACTGATAACAAGATTGATGATAGGTGGCACCGTATGTCAGTGAAAGCCTGATTGATTTCATCAAATTCGAAATTACTGGTATTTACATACATACATGCGCATTAATTCCATGTACTATGTACAAACATACATTAAACCGTATCACCTTTGGAGCAAAAAAAAAAAATTCACCGTACACCCCTGAATCGTTAAGTATTTTTATAAATCAAATTTGTATTTTACCGAACCTAAAGGTTAACTTTTTACATTTTTCGGAGGCACGCGTGAGAAAAAAAATTACTTCCTCAAAACAAAAACATCGATAAATCATACTTTTTGTAAGTACTAGCTGTAAATGCCGAAGATATGACGAAAAATGTGAAAAGGCGACCACTACGTTCGGAAAAAATCTAAATTGCCTTCGAATCGAAATACTTTCTCAGCAAAAGTTTAATGGGTTTTGGCGTGCTTCAATTTACAGACATTAGGGTGGTGGGGGCTGAGATCTGATGTGTAAACACCAGAACGGGGTATTTCAGGTCAATGGACTTTGGAACACGAAAATCATCTATGTAGCACACTTTAATATCCAACGTTAAGTACCGAAGTTGTAACAAAAAATTTAAAGATACGACCGCTATGTTCGGCCAAAATAAAAATTGTTTTCGAAATTGTTTTCTAAAAATACTTTAGACTCAGGTATGTACGGCGAACTTTTTTTTCTGGTACGGTCTAATGTATGTACATATGTATACTCGCACATGTATTATTTTCGTTATTGTTATCATAAGTAGTTCTTTGCATAACAAGTTTTTGGTGCAAAAATAAAGTAAACTCAACGAAAATGGTGCCTTCCGTTCGTTTTTTTAGTCTAAAATTTTTTCATGTTTCTGTTTAGTTACATTTCAATATCACAAACAATATACTAAATGCTAACAAATAATTTGAAAAGAGTAAAAATCAAATATCTTTATATGTATCCAGCAAGTGTTTTGGTATGAAGAATTTTCCCAGACATTTCGTCTAGACGGGATTAAAAATATGTCATGCACAAATAATCGCTTGTCGCATATTTATTTGTCTTATCTTATCTTATTCTCAGAGAGCGATTAATTTGCAGAGACTTCGATTTCATTTTTAGATAGATTTTTATAAATTCTTCTTTGATTTCAAAAAAAAAGTTCTCATCAACAATTACAGGGTGCGAAACTGAAAATCGGTTGGTAATAAATCTAGTCACATGCTTTTAAGTGCACAAAGGGTACGCAAAACCGGTTCGGTCCCGTTCATCGTATTAAGACGAAAACATATCGTTTTGTAGAAGAAAATATATCAAAATAGATAAGTAATTGCGGTGGAAAGTACTACGATGCAACTAATCATTTTCCCATAATCGATTGGTAAATTACTTAAATGATAGTCCGATTGTTAATTAAACGTATGACATTTCGTTGCTCATACGCCATGGTTTCATGTGTCCGAACAAATTTAATAAGAAAACGGTAATAGATAACACCGGCACACAAAAAAAAAGTGATGTAGGCTTTTAACAAAACCCACCTACCGACACGTATTTCGACCCGCTGAATTCGAATCTGAGGTCCGTTCGACTCTCACACCATCAAAATTTCGAGTAAATTGAGAAAATTGCGAATTTTTTGCCGTTCTATAAATTTCTGTGCATTAAAAAATTTAGGTAGCAAAAAAAGTATTTTTTGTATAGATGCAGCATTTTGGAATAACGGCAGTATCCATTTTTGGAATCCAAAACAAGTATTATACTGCAGAAAAACGTATAGATACAAGCGCAATACATATTTATGTTTACACGCATACATACATGTACAATCACAAATATTTTGACTTTCTTTCATTTCGAATTGAATCCACATTACGACTATCTTGTATTAGCAATATATGCAGAAGTATTATATACATACATATATGATGTAGGTACATATGTATGCACATTAGGGTGCATCACTTACCGTACAAAAAAAAATCGGTACTGTTTCCCAACCGGAATTATAAAATCTATTATATTTTAAGAGTACCAACAAAATATTTCCGAAAAAATTTAAATTTACGTGGGCTAGATCCATTTGAAAATACCCCCAAAAGGTAAAATACTTTTGGTGGTATTTTTCGAAATATTTGGCCGAAGTCTTAAAATATAATAAGTTTCATAATTCCAGTCGAAAAAAACGCTGATTTTTTTTTTTGATGATGCATCCTAATGTACATTTATTTCCGTGATTAATCGACGCCTGAGTAGCATGCGGACATTTTTACATTTGCACGTATGTACAATACATCTGTAAAGTTGATGAGAGTGTCATTTAGCAGGAAATTACATGATAATTACAACTGTTTGCATACGGTAACACAAAACCGCGGCAAATACGTGGTACTTGAGCCTATTGTAACCGCAATGTAAACACACTACTATGTACATATGTATGTAAGTAACCTGGTAAACGCATGTGCATGTATTGGGGAAAAGGGTTGAAGAGATGTATGGTTCAACTACATAAAAGCTAACAAATTATGAGGAAGCGTGCCGAGCGTGTTAACAAATTAAGCGGTCAACTAATTGCTGCATGCTAATTTGGTCGTCTGGTTGGCTATTTAGTTGGCCAAATGGCTGATGGGCTGGGTGGTTCGAATAAAAACTAGGTATACCAACTTATTTAAGTGCAAATTTAATAGCTTTAACAAAACAAGCCACACTTTCTTAAGGTGTTTTTTTTTTCAAATTAAGTCTGGTTTAATAAAATTTCCGATTTTTTTTTTTGTTTGTCTCATTTTTGATTTAGCAGGTGGCTTCTAAGCTGGATATCTCTGGAAAATATGAAAAAAAAAGAAAAAAAGTTTTCCTCAACCCCGTAGTTTCTTGTGTGTTTGCAAACGTGTTGACGAAAAATTAATTTAATTTGTACTGTATTATAAATCACACTTTTGCGTTAATAGCTGTAGGAAATTTACATTATTACATAATGTCAGTTGTAAAACAATTAATTGCTGAAACCAACAAGAATTTCTTATGTCGGAATGCCCTCTACATACACTAGATATAATTACACAATGACATGTCGTTGCTTTAGAAAACTTTAAATACTTATACCAGAGTGGTGAAAAATCCATTAATTTTTTAATGTACACTCTAAAAAAATGTGTAGATTTCCTAGCTAAAAGGTAGGTTACTGATTTCCTACCTTATTATTCGCGAAATTACATGCTCGATTATTCAATGAATAGTTTGTTTAAATTTCGGACTTTTTAGAGTGTAATATAGCTGCTGTGATGTGCGTAAATTTACTACGAAAGTGTGTATAAGCTACAAAATACACATCTGCTGTTGGATTTCAACCGTAGAATTGTGTAAAGCCGCTAACAAAAAAGATTTTTACACACGAAAATGTGTAAACGAGAAAAATACATATTCATCGGGTAAATTTACCAACAAATTTTTAAAAATATACAAAAATATACTCGATTTATAGTCGTGTTTCTAAACAGATTTTTTAGAGTGTATAGCATTTTAATGTAAATGTAAAAAATTAATGCACCCATTTTTGAAATTTAATGAAAATGCGAATTTCAATGCATTAATTCCGAGGAAATAGTACTTATGATATATTTTTTTGCATTAACATTAAAATTTGTAAATGAATGCTATTGCAATCATTTATTGCATTAGAAGTATAACA